ATCCTGCGGGGATCGTCAGCTTGCAACCTATACGGGGTGACACTGGACCCGCTCCACGTAAAGGTAAGTTGTAAAGCAATCCGACGATCCCTGCAGGATGGATCAGATCTGCGGATTGGGGAGCATAATGGATCGGAGTCCGATCCATTATGCTTAATCCGCAGATCTGATCCATTCTGCGGGAATCATTGGAGGGGGTGTCACCAAGTATTATTGCACCAGGTGACACCAACCCTAGGGACGCTCCTGATAGTAAGGGGTGCTGGGGTGTGTTGGAAGGTCTATTGATGCTGGCTGCTAGGGGATCTGTTGTCACTTATGGGATTTATTGCTGCTGATGGGGATTTTTTTTGCTGTTTGTGGGGAGTCTCTTGTTGCTGGAGGGGGTCTTATGTTGCGGGGAGGGATCTAGGGTGTACAGTATCCGACCCGGTGGCGGTGCGCGGCGCCAGCTTGCCATAGAGCTGGGCATGGACCGTCATTTCCAGCTCTGGCAAATGTAAACACTGGCATTTTTTTTTGTGGACAGCAGAGATCACTGGTTTTTTTTTGGGGGTCGAGGGGTTTGTATTATTGATCTCATGCTTTCCAAAGTAGAGGAGATATCTGGGGTCTTATTGACATAAAGAGGACCTGTCATTATTTCTATCACAAGGGATGTTTATATTTCTTGTGATAGGAATAAAAGTGATTTAAAAAAATAAAGGGACAGTGTACAATTAAAAATATAAAAAGAAAATAAAGAAAAACTAATTTTAAGTGAACCCCCCCCATCCTCCAGTGTTTGCGCGCAGCAGAAAAAACGCATACGTACCCACATATGTAAACAGTGTTTGCACCACACATGTGAGGTATCGCTGCAAACTTTACAGCGAGAGCAATAATTCTAGTGCTAGACCTCCTCTGTAATTCTAAATTGGTAACTTCTAAAGAATTTTAAAGCTTTGCCTGTAGAGATTTTTAAGTATTGTAGTTTGGCGCCATTCCACGAGCTTGCGCATGTTAGGTATCTATTTACATCTTTTATATGTTACTAAAAAATAGGTTATATATTGTGGTTTTTTTTCATTAACCATTAGCCGCCCGGCCAATGGCCATTTGGCGGCTTCAAAAGTGCTTCGGCATTCCGGGTGCACACCATTTGGCGTGCTCCCGCACATTTGCAGTTTGCGCTAATGCAGAGCCGCGCAGCGGCGCGATCTGTCACCGGCCGTGTACCTCGGACACGGCCGATGACAGATTTGAGTACCGGCCCCCGTTGCTGGTACCATGACACATGACAGGTCACATGACAGTTGTATACAATGGATGGCTTCATTCATGCCATCCATTGTATACTAGTGCCTAGCTGTGAATGGTCACAGCTAATCACATGCACATGTCATGTGATTAGCTGTGACCAAATCACAGCTAAGCACAAAAAAAAAAAAAAAAACCTGAATGAATCGATTTCATTCAGGTAAATGCTTGCTTATAGCAAAGTAATTCTTTGCTATAAGCAAATTGTGTAAAAAAAAAAAAAAAAAAAAAATACTGATCACTTCCCCAAAGTAGTATAATGTTACTATGGTAACATTGTACTACTTTGGTCATAGTAAAATAAAAAAAAAAATGTAATAAAAAAAATTAAAAAATAAAAATAAATTAAAAAAAAATATATATTTTTTTTTTTTTCATACTGTCACCAGTCAGTGTCCCTGATCACTGCCATGCCAGTTATATGATGACGCTGTACTGCACTGGTGACAGTATGTAAAAAAAAAATAGTGAAAATAATTTTTTTAATTTTTTAATTTTCCGAAAAATTATGACAAAAAAAAAAATACAACTTCAAAAAACTCGCCATGCCTCTTATGAAGTACGTCAGACTGTCTACTCTGCAAAAAGGGGTCATTTGGGGATATCTGTACTGTTCTGACATTCTTGGACCTCAAGAAATTAGATTGGCCGTCAGTACTTCAGGATTGATCAATATTCAGATCTATACCATAGTTTGTGAACTCTATAACTTTCCTACAAGCTAAATAATACATCCTAATTTGGGTTATTTTCACCAAAGACATGTAGCAGAATACATCTCGGCCTAAATTTATGAAGAACAATTATTTATTTGTAAACTTTTATAACAGAAACAAAGAAAAACGTGTTTTTTTTTTTCAACATTTTTGGTCTTTTTTTGTTAATTTAGCAAAAAATAAAAACCCCGGCGGTGATTAAATACCACCAAAAGAAAGCTCTAGTTGTGTGAAGAAAATGATAAAATTTTAGTTTGGGTACAATGTTGTATGACCGCGCAATTGTCATTCAAAGTGTGAGAGCGCTGAAACCTGAAAAATGGCCTGGGCAGGAAGGTGTAAAATTGCCCGGTATTGAAATGGTTAAAATCCATTAAAGTATTTTTTCTCCCAAAAAAAATGCATTTGCAAAATCAATACGTAAATACCATGTGACATAAAACAATTGCAATTGCAATTATTTATTTATGAGCCTGTAAGCCAGAAGACTGAATGAACTACCACAGAGCTCCACAGCGCCGTGGTAGTTTATTGAGAACTGCAAGCCGACATCCGCAAAGGATGTTGGTACTTGTAGTTCATTCATTCACAGAACTCTGTGAATGAATGACGTGGCCATGTAGGCGGAGCCCTGCATGACCGCACTGATGAAAAAAACCTGACAGCTAGTACTGGGAACTTTTCTGCCGGCAGCCTGTCAAACATTAAACTGATTTCAGAGCAGGGCTATGGAACATATGGTATGTAGCCCCAGGGTGGTCAGTGAGCAGTATGTAGTGGCAGAGCAGTCAGTGAGCAGTATGAAATTCTAGAGCAGTCAGTGGTAGTATGCAGTGACAGGCTAGGGCAGTATGAATTGGCAGGGCAGTCATTGAGAAATATTGTAGGGTATGGTAGGGCAGTGAACAGTATATACAGGGTGACAGGGTGGTCAGTGAGCAGTATGTAGTGGCAGGGTGGTCAGTAAGCGGTATATAGTGGTAGTATGGTTAGTGAGCGGTATATAGTGGCAGGGTGGTCAGCGAGCAGTGTGTAGTGGCAGGGTGGTCAGTGAGCAGTATATAGTGGCAGGGTGGTCAGTGAGCAGTAGACAGTGGCAGGGTGGTCAGTGAGCAGTATGTAGTGGCATGGTGGTCAGTGAGCAGTATGTAGTGGCAGGGTGGTCAGTGAGCAGTATGTAGTGGCATGGTGGTCAGTGAGCAGTATGTAGTGGCAGGGTGGTCAGTAAGCGGTATATAGTGGTAGTATGGTTAGTGAGCGGTATATAGTGGCAGGGTGGGTCAGCGAGCAGTATGTAGTGGCAGGGTGGTCAACGAGCAGTATGTAGTGGCAGGGTGGTCAGTGAGCGGTATATAGTGGTAGGATGGTTAGTGAGCGGTATATAGTGACAGGGTGGTGGTCAGTGAGCAGTATGTAGTGACAGGGTGGTCAGTGAGCAGTATATAGTGGCAGGGTGGCAGTCAGTGAGCAGTATGAAATTCTAGGGCAGTCAGTGGTAGTATGCAGTGACAGGCTAGGGCAGTATGAATTGGCAGGGCAGTCATTGAGAAATATTGTAGGGTATGGTAGGGCAGTAAACAGTATATACAGGGTGACAGGGTGGTCAGTGAGCAGTATGTAGTGGCAGGGGTGGTCAGCGGTATATAGCAGTGTGGTATAGTAGTGGCAGGGTGGTCAGTGAGCAGTAGACAGTGGCAGGGTGATTAGTGAGCAGTATGTAGTGGCATGGTGGTCAGTGAGCAGTATGTAGTGGCAGGGTGGTCAGTGAGCAATATGTAGTGACAGGGTGGTCAGTGAGTATTATGTAGCGGCAGGGAGGTCAGTGAGCAGTATGTATTTGCAGGGTGGTCAGTGAGCAGTATGTAGTGGCAGAGCAGTCAGTGAGCAGTATGTAGCAGCAGGGTGGTCAGTGAGCAGTATGTAGCAGCAGGGTGGTCAGTGAGCAGTATGTAGTGGCAGAGCAGTCATTGAGCAGTATGTAGCAGCAGGGTGGTCAGTGAGCAGTATGTAGCGGCAGGGTGGTCAGTGAGCAGTATGTAGTGGCAGAGCAGTCAGTGAGCAGTATGTAGCAGCAGGGTGGTCAGTGAGCAGTATGTAGCAGCAGGGTGGTCAGTGAGCAGTATGTAGCAGCAGGGTGGTCAGTGAGCAGTATGTAGTGGCAGAGCAGTCAGTGAGCAGTATGTAGCAGCAGGGTGGTCAGTGAGCAGTATGTAGCAGCAGGGTGGTCAGTGAGTAGTATGTAGTGGCAGAGCAGTCAGTTGCAGAGGAAGAGAACACATGACATCAGGTTATCTGACTGAAGAAGGGTGGGGAGTAGGGGGGGCATCCAAGAAGTGAGGGTAAAACTTGTGTATGGGAGGGAAGGGGGGGGGCAACCTGGAGTTGACACCTTTTTCCATGGTCTTACTTGTATTTACAACGTTGTATTCACTAAGCGACTCAACAATAGTTTAACACGTATGTTGGAAATGATTTATTCCCAGCGGGTGTGAATTCTTTACACACCACATACCGCACCGCCAGGGCCCGCTGATAATTGGCGCGTATAACAGTGTGCCATACCATGCGGCAAACATATAAAGCAATTTGCAGCACAAATCAAGCAGGGGGGGTGTGAGAGGGGAAGCTGGCCGAACCTTAATGGTCATTATTGTTGGAGTGGAAATGTAATTGATTTGATATTGGGATACCGTGGAGCGATCTGTGCTCGGTGATTATACATGAGTCATCAAATCAGTATCTGAGCCATGCACACAGCCTTCCCTAATACAGAGACGGGAAGAATGATCTAACAACCCCGAGAGTGACGCAACGCGCACAATGGTGATCATTCATACACACTGGGAGCCCAGCAAACACAGCAACATTGCCCACAGCAGCTGATTGAGCCTCAACTAAAAGACGTAAATGAATGGCGCTCTGTATTCATAATTATGAGTCATTAGAGTTACAATAGTCATCATATTATATCATAAATATTATAACTCCCTCCTCATTGGCCGACCTCATTGCAGGCTATCCCCTCTTCAGTCTATCATGAATACTGCTGCCAGACTCATCCACCTTACCAACCGATCCATGTCTGCCATCCCTCTCTGCCAATCCCTCCACTGACCTCCACTCAGTGTCCTCCATCCCTCTCTGCCAATCCCTCCACTGACCTCCACTCAGTGTCCTCCGTCCCTCTCTGCCAATCCCTCCACTGACCTCCACTCAGTGTCCTCCATCCCTCTCTGCCAATCTCTCCACTGACCTCCACTCAGTGTCCTCCATCCCTCTCTGCCAATCCCTCTCTGCCAATCCCTCCACTGGCCTCCAATCAGTGTCCTCCATCCCTCTCTGCCAATCCCTCCACTGGCCTCCACTCAGTGTCTCCATCCCTCTCTGCCAATCTCTCCACTGGCCTCCACTCAGTGTCCTCCACCGCTCTCTGCCAATCCCTCTTCTGGCTTCCACTCAGTGTCCTCCATCCCTCTCTGCCAATTCCTCCAGTGGCCTCCACTCAGTGTCCTCCATCCCTCTCTACCAATCCCTCCGCTGGCCTCCACTCAGTGTCCTCCATTCCTCTCTGCCAATCCCTGCACTGGCTCCACTCAGTGTCCTCCATCCCCCCTCTGCCAATCCTTCGACTGGCCTCCACTCTGTGTGTCCTCCACCCCTCTCTGTCAATCCCTCCACTGGCCTCCACTCAGTGTCCTCCACCCCTCTCTGCCAATCTCTCCACTGACCTCCACTCAGTGTGTCCTCCATCCCTCTCTGCCAATCCCTCTCTGCCAATCCCTCCACTGGCCTCCAATCAGTGTCCTCCATCCCTCTCTGCCAATCCCTCCACTGGCCTCCACTCAGTTTCCTCCATCCCTCTCTGCCAATCTCTCCACTGGCCTCCACTCAGTGTCCTCCATCCCTCTCTGCCAATTCCCTCCAGTGGCCTCCACTCAGTGTCCTCCATCCCTCTCTGCCAATCCCTCCGCTGGCCTCCACTCAGTGTCCTCCATCCCTCTCTGCCAATCCCTGCACTGGCTTCCACTCAGTGTCCTCCATCCCCCCTCTGCCAATCCTTCCACTGGCCTCCACTCAGTGTGTCCCTCCACCCCTCTCTGTCAATCCCTCCACTGGCCTCCACTCAGTGTCCTCCACCCCTCTCTGCCAATCCCTCCACTGGCCTCCACTCAGTGTCCTCCATCTCTCTCTGCCAATCCCTACACTGGCATCCACTCAGTGTCCTCCATCTCTCTCTGCCAATCCCTCCACTGGCTTCTACTCAGTGTCCTCCATCCCTCTCTGCCAATCCCTCCACTGGCCTCCCCCCTCTCTGCCAATCCCTCCACTGGCCTCCACTCAGTGTCCTCCATCCCTCTCTGCCAATCCCTCCACTGGCCTTCACTCAGTGTCCTCCATCCCTCTCTGCCAATCCCTCCACTCAGTGTCCTCCATCTCTCTCTGCCAATCCCTCCACTGACCTCCACTCAGTGTCCTCCTCCATCCCTCTCTGCCAATCCCTCCACTGACCTCCACTCAGTGTCCTCCATCTCTCTCTGCCAATCCCTCCACTGGCCTCCTCCATCCCTCTCTGCCAATTCCTCCACTGGCCTCCACTCAGTGTCCTCCATCCCTCTCTGTCAATCCCTCTGCTGGCCTCCACTCAGTGTCCTTCATCCCTCTCTGCCAATCCCTCCACTGGCTTCCACTCAGTGTCCTCCAACTCTCTCTGCCAATCCCTACACTTGCCTCCACTCAGTGTCCTCCATCCCTCTCTGCCAATCCCTCCACTGGCCTCCACTCAGTGTCCTCCATCCCTCTCTGTCAATCCCTCCACTGGCCTCCACTCAGTGTCCTCCATCCCTCTCTGTCAATCCCTCCACTAACCTCCACTCAGTGTCCTCCATCCCTCTCTGCCAATTCCTCCACTGGCCTCCACTCAGTGTCCTCCATCCCTCTCTGTCAATCCCTCCACTGGCCTCCACTCAGTGTCCTCCATCCCTCTCTGTCAATCCCTCCACTAACCTCCACTCAGTGTCCTCCATCCCTCTCTGCCAATTCCTCCACTGGCCTCCACTCAGTGTCCTCCATCCCTCTCTGTCAATCCCTCTGCTGGCCTCCACTCAGTGTCCTTCATCCCTCTCTGCCAATCCCTCCACTGGCTTCCACTCAGTGTCCTCCAACTCTCTCTGCCAATCCCTACACTGGCCTCCACTCAGTGTCCTCCATTCCTCTCTGCCAATCCCTGCACTGGCCTCCACTCTGTGTCTTCCATCCCTCTCTGTCAATACCTCCACTGGCCTACACTCTGTGTCCTCCATCCCTCTCTGTCAATCCCTCCACTGGCCTCCACTCAGTGTCCTCCATCCCTCTCTGTCAATCCCTCCACTGGCCTCCACTCAGTGTCCTCCATCCCTCTCTGTCAATCCCTCCACTGGCCTCCACTCAGTGTCCTCCATCCATCCCTCTGCCAATCCCTCCACTGGCCTCCCATTGCCCAACAAATAAAATTCAAAACATTAACAGTAACCTATAAAGCCATTTATAATTCTGCCCCAAATTACATCACCAATCTTGTCTCCAAATATCACCCAAACTGCCCCCTCCGCTCCTCCCACGACCTCCTGCTCTCTAGCTCCCTTGTCTCCTCCTCCCATGCTCGTCTCCAGGACCTCTCCAGAGCCTCCCCTATCCTCCGGAATTCTCTACCCCAATTTATCAGACTATCGCCTACTCTGCTCACTTTTAGGCGATCTCTGAAAACCTATCTCTTCAGGGAAGCCTCTCAGTTGTCACCATCAGCAAAGCTGCCCTGATAAATGCCATTCAGCAATAGCTGGAGAGTAATGCCCGTAGCGAAAAAAGGAAAGGAAAATTAGCGCAGGGCAGGCATGACTAGGCCTAGAGTGGGAAGGAGAATAGGAAAGGGTTAATGGTGTGCCAGGGGGGTGTGGAAAAGGATAGATGGGTGTGCTGGTTGGTGGAGAGAGAGCGTGGGTGGGCTCTGCCGCACCTTAGGGTGGGGGGTGTCCCAGGGGGGGGAGGCATCATTTCGGACCTGGACGTTGGTGAGTGAGATTCATTCCCCTCCCAACGCCAGCATATTGTTAGGGCCTTTTTCCCTGGGGGTCTCGTTGCGGTCTTTGGGGGGCTGTCATGGATGGCTTGGTGGCCCAGCTGCGTGAGGCGGCAGCCTCTCATGGGATGGACTGGCTGCAGAGCCGGGTCTCTGCCTTCCTGCAGGACCGGGGCGTGTCCCTGGACCCGGGCTTATCGCTGGGCCCGGGCTCATCACCAGAGGGAGAGGGGCGGGTGCGCCCACGTGCTCGGGGGTCTCGGCCTCCGGAGCGCTGTAGTCCGGGCTCCCCCTCCCCCAGAGCTCAGCGCCGGGGTGTCTGCTTCATGCAGGACCCGGGCTTGTCCCAGGACCCGGGTCTTTCACAGGACCCGGCTCATCACCAGCGGAGAGGGGCGGGTGCGCCCACGTGCTCGGAGGTCTCGGCCTCCGGAGCGCTTTAGTCCGGGCTCCCCCTCCCCAGAGTTCAGCGCCACACTGGGAGCCCCGTTCGGGACCCTCCGGCCCCGCTGGCAGGGCGCTCCATTGCCTCTGCTCGCGGGGAGGCCGGGGAGGAATCCCCGACAACGGCGGAGCTCGGCGGGCGGGGTCTCGCGGGGAGGAAGCCCCTCCCCCCGCCCGCACGGCTGAGGAAGCAGGATGTCGCCGGCTCCTGCACTGACCAGGTGCCTGTCAGGGAGGGAGCCCAACGAGGGAGACGCAGCGCTGCGGCTGCCGGGCTGTCCCCTGCTGCGGCCGGCAGGCCCCATGGAAGCGTGGAGCGGCGGCTCCCGAAGAGCACAGGCTGGATGGACGTGCTGCCGTGGGGCGTTGTCTGGTCGGACCCCAGGGACGTCGATGGGCGTGGCTGGTGCCGGGAGGCGGAGCCAGCAGAGGCACAGCGCTCGAGGATCGTGGCTCCTGGGACTGGGAGGCCATCCAGCCGTCGAGGGGAGGAACGTGAGATCGGAGGGCGAGCTGTCGAAACCCAATGCGGGGGTGACAGCTGGGCCGCTCGGCATCGCTGGACGTGGGTTCGCGCGGCTGATGGGACGTCTCCTGGGCAGCCTGGTGAGTTACCTTTTTCTTTTTCTTCAGCGCTAGGGGACCTGTTTGGGGGGCGGGGCCTCGGCGGTGCGGGAGGTCGGCGTTCCCGATTAGGGTCGCGGGGGGGGGGGCTCTGCGATTTGATTTCCGGTTTGCGTTACCTTGTTGCAGCGCCTTGAGCGGGGCGGTAGTAGTGGGTTCCCTGGGGCCTGCTGCGGCGTGGCTCCCGCCGGCTGGTGGGGGACGGTTTACAAGTCCCGAGTGCAGGACGGGGGGGCCGTGTGCGGAGATCGGGGGTTTCTCCTCCCTCTGGTTCTGGGCCTGCGGTGGTTGCGGCGGAATCTGATGCTTTGGGTTCCACGGCTTTGGATGGGGGTGCGGGGGTGTCCGGAGCGGTCGGCTTGGCGGAGAAGGGGAATCGGCCAAGTGCGAGGTATACGTGTGCTTCGAGGGCCCTTTAGGTGCGCACTTGCCGTTGGAGGTTCGGGAGCGGATTTGGAGCGGGGAGTATGTGGAGATCTTCACGCTTTGCCCGTTGGAGCGTTTTCCTTTGGAGGGGTTGCGGGTTGTACGAGGGCAGGCGGGAGGAAGCGGAGAAGCTGCTGGCGTTTTCGGTTTTATCCCAGTACTTTTGCAAATTGGATGCAGGCGTTTGCGATCATGGCCAGTGTTATTGGGGAGAAGGCTCCTGAGCATTGCTCGGCGCTTTTTTGTTACACTTGACGCCATTAGCGAGGCTCACAGGGTTTACGGTGGGACTGCGTGGCTTCGGTATGATGAGCAGTTTCGGCAGCGGGCGGGCTGTTCGCCCTTCCTTGCGTGTTGGGGGACCATAAGGACATTGGCCTTTGGATGCGCCTCATGACTCCAGCGAGGCCTCCTGGTCGTTTTTTTCAGGGGGGGGCCGGTGGTTCATTCTCCCCGGACAATCGGCTCCTCAAAGCGTAGGGGCTTCTTGTTGGCAGTTCCAGGAAAGCGCTTGTCGTTTCGGAGGGTCCTGCCGTTTTAAGATGAGTGTTCCGGTTGCGGTGGCTCCCATCCGTTGGTCGCGCTGTTTCAAGCGGGGCAGAGGCCCTTCCGGCGAGCATGTGGGTAAGAGGGACGACACCGGTTGGGGTGGAAAGGATGCAGCCTTTCCTAGATAGATATCTGATCGGGCAGCCGCTGTGCTGCTGGCGGCAGGTTTTTTTCGGAGGGTTTCCACATCCGTGCACTTTGACTTCCGTTCCCCCCTTGGCTCGGAACTTGCGGTCGGCTTGCGGCATGCGGAGGTTGTTTCGGTTAAGTTGCGAAAAGAAGTGGGGTTAGGTCGTATGGGCGGCCCATTTTCTTGCGGCCCATTTTCGGATCTGG